ATCTCTCATCATTCTTCATTATGTTCGATTTATTTTTCATTCAGTTGTATGTATAATGCTGTTAAGTTAATTCATTTTCCGTTTTAGATTCCTAAACTGTTGCTTCATCGGCTTTTCCCCAATGCTCGTTATTCAATTTGGATCGATGCAAAGCTAGAGCTCGTTGTGGACCCTTTTCAAATTCTCGAAAGGTAAACCTTAACTTTTACTACTTGCCTTACCTATTGAACTTCAATTCAAGAATTCGCCTTTGTTTTTTTTATGCAACTCTAGCAATATATTTTCCCATTTGAAACAATTTTCGGAATTTTGGTAAAGAAAAATCTCATATCTTTACAGGTAGTGAATTTCACACCGAAATTACTTGGGTAAATTCGGTGTACACATTTTTTCCAACTTTAATCGGAAAACACAGACACTTTTTGTGTTTGTAAAATGGCGAAATATGTTATAATCTCTGCTTTCATGCATGCTTGTGTTTTTCTTTTTACTACAAAATTGAACATGTAACTAAAAAAATGCTGGAAATGTGTTAAGAGATTTTTTTTTTTTTTTATTATTATTATACTTAGCAGATTCTTGTGGAGAAAAAATGCAAGCTTTGCAATATCAAGACACTATAAGCGCTTCGATATTTTTGACGAGGCAGAAGCTAATAAAGCGGCTGGAAAATACGACAATGCCTCCATTGACTTCCAGATCGAATTTTACAAAAAGGAAGGCTTAACGCCATATTCCGAGCAAAAACTGCCTATCACTACTGGTACATAATAATAACTGTTCTGTATTTTAATTCTTAATTTTTGTACCATGATCTGTAATTCATCATGCTTGTTTTTTTACCAGATGTACCCGAAGGATGTGTAATAATCAAAGAGCACATTCCAATCGCCAATTTATTTACGTGTCTGTGGTTCAATGAAGTAGATCGTTTTACGTCGAGAGATCAGTTAAGTTTCTCGACCGTAAGGGATAAGATCCGCTCGAGGACCAATTACACGATAAATATGTTCTTGGACTGTGAACGTCGCAATTTTGTGGTTCAGGTAAAAGTCATATTTTCACCGGTAAAAGTGAAAATTATGAAGATCCTTGAAGTTTTACTAATACCCACTTCATTTCTGCATAAAGCTCTGCCAAAATCCTGATTTCATTTGTAAAAATGGAAACAAAACTAAGTTCCTATGCATGAAATCATGAGTGTTTTCTTTCTAATCTAATGTTTTTTTTCCCTTCAAAATGTTAAGTTGTGTTTGGTAAGCATATAAGTTAGCTTATAGCTTATTTGATTAGCTTATAAGTTTTCTATATTCAAATAAGTTTTGTTTGGTAGGAAGAGCTTTTGTAAAAAGCTCAAACTTGTCTCATAAGCTTTCTTGAATAATTTTTCAAATAAGCTCATTGAAATTTTTATTTCAGCTTGTTTATCAGCTAATTTTTACCAAACACTTTTATCATATAAGCTAGTTTTTTCAGCCATAAGTCATAAGCTATCAGCTATAAGCTCGAAAGCTATCAGCTATTAGCTCGAAATTCACTTAAAAACTATAAACTAGCTTACCAGCTATAAGTTAGTTTATCAGTGTACCAAACATAACCTTAATCAATGCATTTTTAACCGGTCTTGCATTCGCAAAATCGTTCATTCGCCTCATATTTCTTGTTACAGGGCTACCATAGGGACTTGCTTGAGCATCAGTCACAGCCATCCGACGACATAATAACTCACATCCGTCCTCCTCCCAATCCACCCGTAAACCCGAACGATTATACTCTGAAAACAAAACCAGCCCAGTTTCTGGTGGACCCCATCACAGTGAATCCACGCCTGAAACTTCCTACCAGACGGGGGAAAGAGAGAAAGTCGAGGCACCACCGGAAAGCCACCAATCCAATTTTTGTCTAAGCTAAAGGTTCTTGTTTAATTTACTCTCCTGTTTTAAGGGGAAAACCAACATTTATGATGACTGTGGGAGACTGGGATTTGTTGTGCAGGATGAGAGCTGTAGATTTATTTCCATATAGCAACTTTTTTTTTTCTTTATCTTTGCTTCCTTTCTTGGTGTACTATCCATATAGAGTTTGTACATATATAATGATATATTTTCCTTTTCGTCACTCTCTTTACTATTACTGTTTTTATTGGTGATATGGGGTTTGAGATAATCGCCTCTCGCCTGTCAATAGAGATGTTAAATGAAACGAGTTGATCATGAGCTCGGCTGAAACTTATTAAGTTAACGAGCTGAACTGAGCTTGTTAATGCGTGACCTTAACTCGACTTGATAGCTGAGCTCGAACTCGTTTATTGGTTCGTTGATCAAAGCAGGAGCCCAAGTTTGGCTAAGCTTGTTTCCACTTGCCATGTACATATTATTATCTATGTGTAACGTTTATTTGCCTGAACTTAAAGTTCAGGAACAATTAAAAAAAATATACAATAATGCTAAGGAGCCAACTGTTAGCTCCGTTATGGAGCCAACAACTAATTATACAGCTTCATGTGGGTTGAGAGCCAACTGTTAGCTCCGTTACGGAGCCAACAACTAATTATACAGCTTCATGTGGGGTTGTCCACACGACTCTAATGTGGGACGGCCCCACATGGAGCTGTCCTATTGACTGTTGGTTTCTCTAGGGAGTCAACAGTTGACTCCCTAACATTACTAAAAAAATATAAAGGGAGATTGATCATCATGCCTAATAACAACCCAATTTGGCTCGACTCATTTGTTTATTTAGATGAACCGAGCTCGAACAACTCGAACTTATTTATATGCAATTTGGTTCCGATTGTTTTGTTTATTTGAATGAGTGGAGCTCGAATAACTAATCGAGCTCATTTATAAAGCAAACCAAGACGAGCTTGTTCGCGGACAAATTATGTTTTTATTTTTAAACTAAACAGTTGGGCGGAACTTATTCACGATCGAACATTTTTTTGCCGAGCTCGAGCCAAACCAACTCGATTATTAAACGAACGTGGTCTCGAACACGAGATGTTCAAACTCGGCTCGATTCGACTAGAATAACAACCCTCACGTGCAATTAAAAGCTACTTTAATTTGGCTGGTTTATTGTTAAATGGAGTCGAGAATGAGATTAGCAAATAGCAAGTTCAAGTAAATCGCTAATTTTGTACTGAAGCAAAAAATGGCACTTTATTTCTTCCCATAAACCTCTCTAAAATCTCAATTGAATTTGAACTCCATCCAACCTAAAGCAGACTCTCGCACAGACTGAAATGAAGATGCAAGAAGACGACGACGACGGGCCGCCGCCGGGGTTTCAATGCATCATCAGCAGACAGCCGCCGCCACAATCCCAACCAGCTGAAGAAATTAACAAAGAAGAAGAAGATGAAGAAGATGAAGATGAGGGCCCACCTCCTGGATTTGAACCAGTTGCTCCAAATTCCTCGTCTCCGCCACCTTCTTCTTCTGGTTGCTGTATAGAATTTGAATTTTCTTTCATTCGATTTTCGATCTGCCCTTTTGTGGAAATTATTTTGTAGAATTTGGGGTTTCAGAATTTGAATGGTGTGGCCTTATTTATTTTTTTGAGATGGGGTGTTTTTGCTGGTGCACATCTGCAGGTTAAAATTTTGCTCCGAGGACAATGTTTGTTCATCTTGGTTTTGTTAACTTGTTTATTAACCTTGAAAAGAATTTGATATAAATGATCCACGCTTCTTGAATAGAATTTGGGTTTCTATTAAGAATCTGTGTTTTTAATGATTGTATATTGTGAAGTTTTGTCAGTGCTGTTTGAATTTTTTGACTGGGTTTTGTGGTGTGAAGATGTATGCCTAGAGGGAGTGGCATACTATGGGGGTACACGAGGCCTTAGTCACGGCCACTCGTCAGTTGATTCAGAGGAAGTGGCATATTTATGTTCTGACATGTGCATCGCGAGGCAAACTTTGTGGCTGACCATCTGGCAAGTTTAGCAGCCTCTTGGCCGATTGGTTTGCATGTGTTGGCTTCTCCTCCTCCTAGTTTGGGAGATTGGCTTGTGCATGATGATATCGGGGTTTTTTTTTATCCCCGTCGTGTTTTAGTCTAATGTCTGGGCCGATGGCCTCCTTCTTTGCACCAAAAAAAAAAAAGAGAAGATGTATGCCTAGATGAAGTTTTTGCTGATATGTAATTGCAATTTATCTTTCCTTTTTTTTTTTTGTTCCTTTCCCCTTTTGTTGTAGTTTGGTGTCTCTTGCTATACATCAAGGGACTGGTTTTATTTAGTTATAGAAAATTTCGGCAGCTCTTCTTTAAAGGACTTTGAGTACAAGATGTGTTAAAAATGAATGAGATGGATGGATTTATCTATGTTTTCTAATAGGCTCATGAAAAGATGCATGCTTAAAATGCTAGTTTTGGGGTGTACATTTGGAAATAACTTAGGCAGCATTTAATTGATTCGTTGTCAATTAGATATGGAAGGAAAGAACAAAGAAGATGAGATTGATGATGGTGAAGACGATGAGGGGCCACCACCAGGTTGGGAGTTTGGTGCTCTCATGAATCAATTGCCAAAACCAACTTCAAACACAACATGTAATCTCTCTCTCTCTCTCTCTCTCTCTCCATTTTTCTCTTTCCTTGCTTCTTTTTTTGTCATCTAGATTTCTTCCAGGTGAGTGCTTTAAGCAAAACACTGAATATTGAAGTTGTTGATTTAGTCGGTATTTATAACTAGTTAAGCCGACGAGCATTTGTTGAAGAATTTTGATGTCTATGGTTCTGAATTTTACCTTGAAATGTGGTATGCCCATCACCTTTTTAATTTTTATTGATGTTCCTTAAGAGGATATTTCGTATCGGTTGACCACTGAAGACCCGTAATGATTAATATCCATGTCTATATTCATCTCTGTATGTTGATACCCGAAAAATAAAAAAATCTCTAGACTTGTGATTAGACTGAAAAAAGGGAAAAAAAAATCAAATAAAACTCTAACTTGAGTGCTGAGCCCATTCAGATTTAGTGTAAAAGCACATGCTTCGTATTTGTCCTGCAGATATCCCGAAGCTTATGTACTTTTGTGGGTTTTATGTTGAATACAGCTGATATAAAAACGGAGAGCAATGAAGAGTTGGATGAAGGGCCTCCACCTGGTTGGGAAACCGTGATGCCACGTCAGATGCCACCACCATGCACACCTCCCTTACAATCATCATCATCCATGTCTCCTAGTGAGTTTTTCCCTTTTTACTCCTCGTCTTTCCAATCACAGTAAATCTTTCATGAAGGGTTACATTGTTATATACTTGTTGGAATCTTGTACATCAACTCTGGAATATACATAACGTTAAATGATTAAGTTTTGGTTAGAAATTGGGCGTGTTCGGTTTGACTTAGCTCTTTGACCGTTTGATCTTGTGTTATCTCACTACGTTTATAACTTGGTGATTGCTACCACTTTATAGGAAATGGCATGCCTAATTGTTGATTTAGAATTTAGTCCATTACAATAGGTTTACAGTACTTGAATAATTTGAGTTGCCTGTATTTACCAGTTAATTATGGTGAAAATGCGAGATTTTTATGTAATAAAAGACAATCCGTACCTTAACTTACAGACATCATAGGTGTTGATATCGCAAGCAAACAAGAAATTATGAGAAATTACAATGAAGTCCCTCCACCAGTTTCTCAGTCGAAGCCCACATCAGGGCATTCTCTGCTACCCACACCACCATTGTCGGAAGTGTCTATCGGTGAGTTTCGAAAATGTTATAGAAGTTATAGAAACTTTTTGTTGAAAGTGTAATTTTTTTTGTTGATATTGTGGAATTTTTTTATTGACACTTAGCATAATTATCCTTGAGGTTGAGCTTTTTCCTCTTCTGGATCCATTTTTATATACAAAAGCGGCATTTTCGTATATTTGTAATTTTGAAAGGTTATTGGACTTCTTGTAACGAAGCAGAACCGCAACGCGTATTTATATTTCAACCGTACATAATTTAATTCATCTTCTGAACATTTTCCTAATTATATTTGATATCTTTCATGCTCTCTCTATACATGCTAAAACAGTGACCGATTTCCTTACGAGGAAATTCATCATGATTATAGTCTTGATTCTTGAACTCTTTTTCGATTATTATTTTTTATTTTATTATTCTAAACAAAGGGAACAAATTAAACAACAAAAAAGTCCGGATCAAAAGGCCAATATCTGGATATCACCTTTCATCTCCATTACAGCAACCGAGACCCAACTCACGCCCATTATCACAACCTATACAGCCATCATCATCCAGTGAGATTTTATTTAAATTTTATATACTAACTTTTCCATTGCGCGAAAGTTTTTCAAGATTTGTACTTACAAGTGGTAAATCAAATATTAATGTTCGTTGCAGGGAAAGCCCAGCTCGTTTGTGGCACATGCAGAACATTGTGTTTGTACCCCAGAGGGGCAAAATGGGTGAAGTGTCCCAGTTGCCAGGAAGTCAACTTTGTTCTAGAAGGTTACATTTGCTGTACTTTTTGTTGCTTATTTGCTGCTCTTTCCGATTATGTTGTGAACCGTATTAATTTTGCATCAATAGAATGAAGGAAAAATAAAAATTTTTCGAAAACCGTTGCGCTTTTGCAGCCCATGAAGTTGGCCAAGTGAAATGCGGAAGTTGTGAGGTTCTGCTTATGTATCTGCACGGAGCTCCAGCCGTGCAATGCACTTCGTGCCATTTTGTGACTGAAATCGAGGTACATGCAAATTATTAAGAAAAAAAAAAAAACACTGAACATTAGCCCTTCTGTTGATATTTTTTTCGTCTTAAAATGTGTAGGCCCAGAATAGTCGACCTCCGCTCTCCGTTCAGCAGGCCCAGAAATTGGGTCGTCATGCAAACTGGGCCCGATAAGATGCTCTGTTGTTCAGTATGCGAGCTTAGCTTCATAATCATGATGTCAACTGTTTTTTTTTAACTGCTACTATATGTTAAGTGTTGTAGCGCCTTATTTTGTAAATTTCATGATGTATAGCTCTGCCTGTGTGCAACTGGCCATTACAGCTTTAACCAAAACTTAGACTATGGGCTTTTAAAGGCCCATTAAGATTGGGCTGTTAGGTGGACCTGCAATGAAGAATGGGCTTTGTATGAGATTCAGGAACATGGATTCACATTTTGCTTTATAAAAAAGACATGGGTTACTAGAGTATGTTTGTATACAAAAAATTCCATTCAAGGTGGATTGTTTTGGTTAACTAGAGTTAATTTGAAAAAAGATGGTATGGTTATTTGTTAGTGGGATTTTAAATTTATTTAAAATAATATTTTAAATAAAATATTTAAAGTTAATTTGATATAAAAGTATGAGATAGATTAAATGAAGTGATAGTTAGTTAAAATTATGTGAGTGAATGAATAGTGAATTAAAGTAAATGTGATGTGCAAGAATGATTAGATGATATTATTGAATTATATTGATAATAGTGAGGATATTGGAGTTGAGTTAGATTTTATGTGAAAATTTTTGTATACAAATATTCAAACTGCTACTGGGATATTATTAAAAAGAATGTGGAAAATTGAATATTTTATATAGTTATTGGATATGAAATAATAATATAATAACTAAAGTTGTTAATAGAAAAAGTAAAGTGGTAGTTAGAAAATGTGAATTTCTAAATAATTGATATTGCAGAAAACAATTTTATTATGACTGATGATTTTCATTTTGAAAAATAAAAGTGTAATAACATTGAGGGAGAAAATGTGAGGTTGGGTGAGTACTGTACTTTATTTCTATCTTTTTGTGTAAATATTGTTAGAATATTAATCGTGAGTTGTCCACATTATTTATACAAGGAAAATAGGTATACTTTATAAGGTTAGTGGGCTACTCTTCCCAGTAACCAACTGGTTTTAGAATGAAACATCATTTTGCGCTTCATCTGGACTCATCTTATTATGGTGCGCTTTACGTGCGTGGAGCCGCACTCATTTTGCTCCCGTTCCTTTCATTAGCAAAACTAGTCCGTGCATAACTTAAACTTGGGCACATCAAGTTCGTGTACCTTGAAATAAGGAACATCCTTTTCTTGCTTTACTTTTATCTATACTAACCATTTCGAATAGCTCACCTATATAAACCCTCATTTCTATAACAAAAAATATATTAAAAACTACAATAAAAAATGACTTTACATAAGTATTCATGCACTGCAATTGCATTAACGGCTCTCCTTTTGAGCCTGTCAATATGCTCGGCTCACAAGGTCAAGCCTGGCTTGAACAGCCCCGGAAGCAATGCTAAACTCGCCGGAGATAAAATATCCATAACCGGTTGGGGTCGGGTACGCCCGTTCCCCCCTAAAAGCAACTCGAAACCCCCGATAGATAATATAAATGTCGGGCTTGAAGGCAGTTGGGCCGGTTCAGACCTGTACCTCGACCCGAACATCCCTAGAGATAAAGCAACCCACCAAACGGGAGGCAATTGGGCCCATTGGGGTGGCCGGGACTCTAAGTGGGCCCCGCAAGGCGGCAGCCCGTACTCCGGCCCGAGGTGGATGCCGCCGCCGGGCGAGCCTGTGTACTGCCGGCCGGTAAACTGCGTCAATCCGTATAACTGCCCTGGGTTTACGGTGTACTTGAACCACATTGCGGGAGCTGCTTACGACAAGTCCGTGGATGACATGCGTCAGCATCCTGACGTGGCTGCTGACGGCATGCCTCCTGTACCTGAATCGATGCATTGAGCTAATTAGAAATATTGGGCTCTTTGAAATCATTTGAAACTTGTTATATAGATGACTTAATTTCTATGTAATAATGTGCAATAATTAATATAAATTGATAGATAATAAATAAGACCATCAATTTCTGGGGCGTGTGGAATTTGTTCACTTCAGTTGTTTATTAACAAATTTGTAAATTGTAATCACATGAACTACCTAATCTGTAAACGTACCGAAACCGAACCGAGTTTGGACTGTTCGAACTGGAGTTCGACTAATATCCGAGCTTGTTCGAGTTCGTTCGTTTATTAGTCGAGCTTAAATTTATGTTCGAGTTCGTTCGTTAAGTTTGTGTTCGGCTCGTTTAGCTAATTGAAATAATTTAAACTTTTCAAGCGTTCGATTTCAAAACTTAAGAAATGCTTATTTACTTTATTATTATTATTATTATTATTATTATTATTATTATTATTATTATATTAAAAATCTGGTTGTTTGCGAACGTGTTGGTTCAAATAATAAACGAGTCGAATTACATATTCGAGCTCGACTCGATTATTAAACAAACGATCCCTAAACAAACACGAAGGAGCATTCATTTGCTGCACTAATACTACTCAAGTAGGTCATCCTTAATCACCTAATATTAGATATATACTGAATAACTTTGCAATTAGGTCCTCAATGGACTTTTACCTTATTTAGATCACTTAGTTTGGTCTATAAAATAATTCAATAACTAAAATTCATATAACCCTTAATTAAATTCTATTGGAAAATTAATATATCCTAGTGCTACATGGAGGATGTAATTTTATGTTGTCTCATTTGTTTTATTATAATAATAATAATAAATAAAAATGGTCATATATAATTCGATATTGCAATTGGCAAAAGTTTAAATTGATTAGGTGGGTTAGTCACGCAACAATTTAAAATGTTTAAAAAAAAAAAAAAGTACGAGGCCCAAACAACTGGGCAATCTATAACTGGGCTAATTTAAGCTAAGGCTTTGTACCCAGAGACTAGGCTCACTGTTGTTTGTGGGCTTTCACTGACTGTTGTGAGTTATAAAAAAGAGGCCCAATTGAGATTTCGCCTTCCAGCCCTCTCTTCAATCAGACCAGGCCCAATAACAGAGGAGCTGAGCAGGTCTCAAATGACCAAAATGCCCTCACGCCATGAACCATCCTCTCCTTCAGTCTTCACCTTCCTCATCGATGGCAGTTCCCAATATCTTCTCTCTCTCGTTTCATATGAACAAATTTGTCCAATTAAGGTTTTTTTTCACACAAACCCAATACAGAAAAGGTGAATAATTTCGTGGGCAATTGATAATACAGGCAAAGGAAGAAAAAGGGAAATGATTCCTGAGCAATGGGCGCCGCCTTGCAACAGTCAGTGCACCCACAAATACGCAGCTCTAATGCAAATCCCATGTATGTTTTCGTGTTACGATGATCTTACCCTTTTCAATTTCATGAGTTTTTTGTCTGTACACGCGGTAATGTTGTCAGATTAGAAGCCCATATGATTTTTGATTTTTTTTATTTTTTTTTCTCTCTGTGCTTATTATCTTGGATGATTGTGGTGTTTATCGTAGCTGTTGTTGGGGTTCTGTAAGGATTAAGGATTTGTTGCTCGAATTGATTGATGCAAACTTCAGTTATGCAGTATTCTAATGGCAGCAATTTTACGTTTTCAATTGTGATAATGAACCTGCAAAGAGATGGGAAATCTTTCCCGGTTATATAGGCTAGCCTGTGAGAATTTAACAGAAAGGTACTGTTGTGTAAGGCATTGAAGCCGGTGTTTCGTTTTTGCTCGATAATTGCTATTTGACATTCTTTTTTTGTTGCTGAGTATGACTGTGAATTCGAACCAGCTAAAAGCTTGAAATGTTCGGACCGGACCATTACCACGAAAAGGCAATGGTAATATGGTTAAGATAGTTTTGTAAGCTTTACTGGTCAAACTCAAGATGAGATGTTTTATCAAGCAATTTGGAGGAGTTTGTGTAAAATAGACCCCGTGTGAAAAATCTGGGCCGCCCATCAGAGTTCTTGTTATGCTGCCTTCATCCAGTTTCTTTTTCTCTTTCCTTTTCCCATGGTACGATGTGTGATATCGGAGTGAATCTCAATTGGTCATCACTTATATGTATTTTGACAATCAGCATAGGATCTTTCCTACACAATGATGTGTATGGTTGTTACAAATCGTTCACGTAAAAGACCGCAATATTTTTATGGACAAGGCCATTTATTGGTGCAAGTCAGTTTAGTCCTCTTTCCGTGGATATATATATATGTGTGTGTGTGTGTGTTTGTGTCTGTGTGTAAACCTGAACACTATGAATGAAAATATTGGACACAGAAGAAAGCTTTTGGTTTGGTATGAGGTGATATTTACTTTCTGATAAATTAAAAGGAAGCTTATTTGTGTATGTAGTTAAGTTGTTATTTAGTCCATGATCGGAAATTTTAATTCGAATGTCGAATTCCTTTTCAGTGCCCCTTTTTGGGTATTCATGTAGTATGCAATATCTTATGCTGGATTTACATATTTTAAGCTAACTGACTATTCGCCGGGTTCTTATAGGGAGAGTGTTTTGCAAAAAGGGATGTGATGCTGATGGTGAGACATGGGATGAATGTAAGCTTGAATTTCCTACATATACCTTTTTGCTTGTGTTCAAAAGTCACTGTTAATGTTGAGAGACTATATTGTGGAGTTAATTTAATTTTAGGGATATTAATCTTCTTCGAAAGAATCAATCGATTGTCATTGAGTGAGCAGGTTTGGGCGAGTGTGACGAGATATGCTACAAAGACCCTGTCTTGAAGGACAAGCAATGGAGTGCTTATATTGATCGTTCGCCTGGTTCGGCCAGCTATTCTGAGGTTAAATTAAAATGCACCTTTTCACTTTCTAAATTATTAATTACTACCATATTTCATAATTCCTTCTTCGAGCAGTACAAAAAATAAAAAAGTGTTGAAACATGCGTTTTAATTTGTGGCCTTTGGTGCACAACAGGAATGCTTTCGTGCTTGTGTATCTGGCTGTGGTTACAAGGTTAGTTTAATTGTATTACTAAATAAGGAACAATATATAACAATTTATAATAGCGAACTAAGTGAGTTGACAATATTATTGTAAATTCTGAAAAATAATTTATATGCATCATTAGTTTTATTTATAAAATTTTTATTTAAAGCACGTAAGAGAATAATATGGACAAAACAGAAAATTTGGAAAGTGAGATAATATGCACATTATAGAAAGAAGATAATAAATAAAATTTATATGCAATAGTTGACATATATTAAATGTGTGTATTTATGGCAATCCAACCTAATCTCTTTGGTATAAATAAAAAAAAGTTGTAACTGCCATATTACAAAGTGTAATATTTTGCCACATAAGATTACAAAGCATGCGAAGTTGCCAGCGTAATGCGGAAGCCTATTGTTGTAGAGTTTTAGTAATTTCTTATAAACAAGAAATTAAAACAAATAAATCAATTACATCAAAATTTGTTTCTATTTCCAAAAAAAAAAACGCGTATAAATAATTAGGCATCCTTGAACTTGATTCTCACTTCCTTGACGCATTATTTCTAATGAGTAAAAAATTTGCATGACGTGTCTTTATGACAAACCACCGACACAAAGCTTGGGACGCTATAGCTACATATGAAGAACAAATATATGCAATAAAATGACTTCATTATTGTTTCCACACAATACCTTTTACAGTCTTGTTTCATCCTAGTTTGCATTTATTTAATTTGCTTTCGGATAGTTTGACCGATATTTATATGGACTGCAGTTCGATATGCC